ATAAGGATCCTTAGTCCTGAGAACAGTGAGTTAAAGGAAAAGTTGCAAATGGTTTATATAATGAAAGGCATTGTTTAAAACTGTTCTCATCTTTGTTTATGCTTACTAAACCAAAACTAAATCTTCTCAGAATTTACTGCATGCTAACAAGAAAATTATTATTTTTAGTTAAATCCCACAGTTGTAAGCAAACCCCCAAGAGAACTAATTGCACTTTTAAATAAGTATACAACATTTGAATATTAGCAGGAACAATTAATTAACCTCATATTGCTGTTTAATCTACTTTGCAGAAAAACTTGAATCTTCCCTTTCATAATATTTTGCTTACTAGGTCAATAAAACAGCATATAAGAAAAAATAAAGCATCATTTTGCTTTAGTATGGGAATCTGCAGTCTATCCATTGTGTTTACTTTGGCATTCTCTTAAAGAATTTCATTTATTTTCAATGAAAAATAAAAATTAGACTTTAAATTATTGGTGATAGTTTTAGAATACATCTGCAAATTCAACAGTGTTTTGACTTCAAACCACAAAGGTCTTTATTTTGTCCCTTTCTTTAGTACCAAATGAACCTTCTCCTTATCCTTTAAAAGGAGACAATGTATCGATTTCCAATTTAGTATTGGAATGAAGAGAAATTATTGATACGCAATGAGGTTTGGACAGGGTGTGGAGACAATGGCAGCCTCCTCCCTCTGAATCTTGGCAAAGCATCTATGTTTTGTATTATTCTAAACATGATGAAGAAATTGTCCTAAATTTGTCCCAGAACAAGGACTTTGTTTATTAGAAGACAATCTACAAAGACCCACATTGTTTCTATGAACAATAAAGGATTAAGTCTTTCTAGGCTGCAGTATTTATCAACACTATTTTAACAGTTTGCAAAACACACAACAGTTACCAAAGTTGTTTTTCTTGTCTCAGTATGAGAATATCAAACAAAGAAGAAAAAAAACAGATCCGTAGTCTTCTTTCCAAATGTTGCTCTGACAAATTCACTAATCCTGAAACCTTTTGTTTCACATTGGCAAAAGATTGTAAAGCCTTTGATATTAACTACACAAGTCAAACTCCACCATAGATAATACAGATTGAAGGCACAGTGTTTACCTTACAGTTGTTCTGACTATATTTGTGAACTCCACACCACCACCTGTTACAAAAACAAGCTATCTAAAATGAAATCTCACTCCTTAAATCATCACGATTGCAGTTTAAGACAAAAAGGCAGACAAAAGAAAATCAAGAATTTTCAGAGACCCTCTGTCACACCTGATAAGACATTTAAGCAGTCTCATACAGAATGAATGTAACTGGACAGACAGATATGAATGAAGAAAACCTATTTTTTTTCTAAATGCCACTGAAAACACCAGGATAAGTCATGGTAGCATTTCATTAAAGATTCTGATAACTAAATGATCGTTTAACCCAACATATACTTTTAAATAGCATACATTTGTCTATGCTTACATAAACTGTATGTGAGGTATCTCAGAATTATCTCACCATATTAGCTCAGGACATACTTCATTTAAGTAAAGATATGCTCAGCAGGATGTCACCTTGTTGAAGTTCTAAGCTCTGAGATATAAGAAAAATCTAGCTTCCAAACACTAAAAAAAAAAAAAAAAAGCTATTTCTCATCTACACTTCAAGCCAGCCAGATAATATCAGTCATATCAATACTCTATCACACTCTATTTGATTTGAAGGCCTCCTGCTTAGTGTTTTAATAGGAATTGGGGGGGAGGGAGGCATGGTAAAATAAATAACTAGAGAAATCATTGCCATTTGTGATTTTGTTATTTTGGTTTCAATTACATTTTCAGCATTATCTCATATCAAAGACTACACAGGCAGAATGCGTTTCAAGGCTGCAGTAAGTGCAATATCAGGGGAGAGCTGACATAGAAGAATTACTTCTCTCTCTCCTTTATTAGCAGATAATAGAATACACACATGTTTCTAGTTTAAAAAAACCAAACAAACAAACAAAAAACCACCTTTGCTCTGTCCAGGTCCTACGTTTATTGGGAAAAACACGCTAAAAAATTAGCTACATAACCTACATTTGCATCTCCTTCTTGAAATGGAACACTAAAAAGGATAATATAGAATATTTTGATTCACAGTATACGTCCCTAAACTCTTGCATTCAGATTTACTATAACAAAAAGGCAATCCTTAATTGCCATTTTCTTTGTATGCATCTCAATTCATCTGCAACATAACAACTTTGCAAAGCACATACTAGCTTGATATAAGCTTTAATTATTATTCATAATTATCTTTCATTTTCCTGTAACCATAAAACTATAAGCTACTTAACTGGGGATTTTATACAAAGAAAAACTGCATGTTCTACAAACCAAAATATACACTTTTAAAAATGTCCTTTGCTAATATGGACTGATTTGCGCATAATAGAATGTTATTCTGCTAAGATATCCCATCTGAGTGTACATTGTGGGTTTGACATCTTTTGAGCATACATATATTTCACATCCGTGTATCAATGATGCAGGTAGGCTTTCCAGCAGTTTAAACATAGCAATAAGCATTTGAATATTTAACTGCTAAAAACTGAGTCTGACCACGCATGGACAAGTAGTTTATCTTCAACATCCCTTTTCTTTTCCCACAGTTGACAAATGAATATAGATCATATTCCTAAAGAATATTCTGATGGCTGCTTCCACAGATCCCTGTATTTGCCAGAGGCATTTAAGTTTTCAGTCCCCTCCTTCCACCACCATCATCACAGAAAGCTAATTAGCTCCTGGTTCATTCCAGTGCTGCCGTGCAGGGCATTTCCACATGCTAGTCCAGATAGAATTTCCACCACTACAGTTTCTCTGTCACCTTTTGATCCCACATACCAGTTATATAGGGAGCTAGAGTTTTCCAGAGAAGAGAATTATACATCATTAATACCTCCCTGAGCCCAACTACTCGCAGCCTGCGTCAAATGAAGGGGCATGGAAACACGTGCCCTTCGCATGGCGTGCGGTTGCCAGAGGCTCAGACTTTTCACTGATATTGTGGCTGTCTCGATGATTGCTCCCTTTTGTACTGTCTGAGCTTCAGTTCATATTCTGCCACCGACTGCATTTCCAGGAGACTACAGTGTGAAGAGACTTTGTAATCTGAACATCTGAAAGTGTTGAGCTTGAAAAGTCAAAATAAAGCAGAACCTTGAATTATCAAAACAACTCCCTGAACACCTGGTGTAATTGAGCGCTGACACTAGGACTCCCCAGCACAAGTAGGCACTTAATGAAAAAGCTTCTGTATTCTAAACTACCTGTAAGCTACCAGTTTAGGAAGGGCCCCTCAGTGTCCTTCAACAAAGCACATTACAACATGACAATTCCAAGGCGGCTAAGGCCCAGACAGGGAAAGCAGATATATTCTGTCTCCCATTGATTTAAGCATTTAGTATGAGAAATTGGCAAAAATCCCCTATGATGCACCACAAATTTTTACATATGGGACAAGAACTATTGATTACAGAAGCTGTAACTTGAAGCAAGTTATTTTGTGTACATCCTCCCTCCAACAAAGTATTTTCTTTACCCATGGACCTCCAGCTAACACAAATCTATTTGTAACTGAAATTAAATAGGTCCATTTTATACATAAATAGGCATAGACTGACAGGCACAGAAATATATATGCATGTGTACATCTGCATGTATGTGTATACACATGTACAAATATATGTATGTATATACATACACACCTGTATATGTACATTCAACAGAATAGTAAGTAACATCAAATAAACAGAGAAGCTTGTAATGGAGCTGGGAGAACATTCAAATGAAAATTATCTGGGAATCCCAAAGACTTTAAAAAGTTTTATTCAAACCAGTTCCACTCCTATCTGCTCACTAGACATTGCAGTCACAACAAATAACATCTCATTTCAATCCATTCAGAGGCAGCAGTCAGATATAACAATTCTGGTATGGATATGTTGCTCTCGGCCACAAACTGCCATTACTATTGTAATATATTTTAAAATAGGAAACTTTTTCTTCAGGTTATCAGAGGAAACTTTGCCATATCTTTTTTATTTTTTAATACCTGGTCTAAATGTGGTATCACCATCTATTTCGATTACGATAAAAATACTAAGTTACAAATTCCTGAAAAACAGTTCTTGCTAACTTCTAGAGATTTTTGATCTTCAACATTAATGACAGTGGTCTTCTTTTCAGGCAGGTGAGTTTAAAAAAAAAAAAAAAGTCTTTTTTATATCTACCGTTTAACTGTTAATAGTAAGGTCCACGCATCTCTTTTCTGGATACTACCAAAAGGGAGGAAATGCATTTCACATGTAATAAGAATAATTGTAGAGCAATTTAAAGTAATGCTTTCATGTAGGAGCTGAAGAAATCCCTAAATAACTACAATGTGAACACTCAAAGAAAATGCTCTATTTCCGTAGAGGTTTTTCACCACCTAAAACTGTGTGCAGTGTGAGCATGGTCAGTTCCCTTACAAAATGAGCAATATAGAACAGAAAGAAAAGTCATGTCACATTAGCAGTCAGTATAGTTTCCTGTTGGATTAGCCAAGCTAGTCACCATCCAAAAGCAATCCTGTGAGCAGTTTTATGGACACTGATGTCAAAGTCAGGACTTTTTTTCTGTTATATAAAAATAATTTTTTTGTCACAATGCAATGAAAAGTGCTGGGGTTTCCCAGACCAGTGTTCCAGTCATTCTCTTGAGTCATGTCTTGAAAGTAAACAGTAACCCGCAGCAGCTAAATCCACTAAGGAGAAACACTTGGGAACTGCTGTGTCATTAGTTCTAAATGTGAGATTTCCTTAATATCCTACGCATCACTTATATCAGTCTTTAGCACCACGCTACATTTCTTTGAAGGCATAAACTTTCCTCTCTTTGGAGAAAACCCTGAAATAGATTTCTCATAGCAAATTTAATTCACATAAGCACCAATTACAGTTACTCAAGTTACCTGAAGTGTGTACTTCTGTATTTCATCCAGAACAAATTCCACTTCTTTTGAGGTTGTTAATGAGGCAAGATTCCCACTTAGATTGTAGCAATACAGTTTGGCATTGTCATAGCTTTCACGACTAGAATTTATGCGAAGGCAAGCATCTCCAACGTGACTCCATCCTTCCCCACACAGATGAGCTAGTGTAAAAAGCACACAATTAAAGCTGATTTGAAAAGTCTTTTAAAAAAACCTAAGGGAGTCTGAATTTTATCTTCTTGAGATTGTAATTCAAAATACATCCCACACTCAATTTCCCTTTTCACATCACGTAAATTCTAAAACACCAAGTAGTATTATACTGAATAGTGTATTTTTATGAAAAGAAACTTTAAACAACTTCGAAAATATTTATAAGGTATTTTTAACTTTCAACATAACGATACTGTTATGATGCTATTTCTTCTCTGTATTCAGATTTGAGCACAACTAAACATTTAAGATTAGATTATGTACAACTAAACATTAAAGATTAGAGTAGGTACATAATTAATAGTGCTTTACTGATCACTTTACCTAAATTTTATGTAAATTTCAAAATCTGAAAACAACTGTCCTAGAATTAGGAGATTGCAAATTTATCCTATCTTTTCCTTATCATCCTATCTTTGCATTTATATTGGCCTAAATATAAACGCAATCAGAACGATATGAAATTGGGCTATTTCCTCTTCAACATATTTCAGCATTACTCAGATTCAGATAACTATTAAAAAATGAGTAAGTAATTCAGAGCAACTATTATAGTTAATCTTTACAAAGATTACACAAACGCAGTTTTAAACTGCACAGAATAAATTGATTAAAGTTATTTAATGAATAATCTCTGTGAAAAAAACCCTGTGTTCATGAACTTCATCTGAACATAAAGATCAAATAGAAAAGGTTCTGATATCTAACTGCATATATGTAGTTATGAATATGAATTACAGAATAAATATTATTTCAGAATGTTAACAGTGACCTTCTGAGAATATATTATATTAGCATTTTAATATTCACTGCTTTCATAGTATTACCAACATTAGACAATCAAGAAACTAGATCTTAGGCCCTATCTGCACAGGAAAATTGAAGTATAATTGAAGTATAATTTCTAAGATAAAAACCCAGCTAGCAAAAGTAACAGTGCCAGTGAATACGTAAGAGTAAAGGAATCAGTATGGCAATTCAGCTCTGCACTCAGCAATCCCCACAGGCAAGAACTCATCACTAGCTCCTGCAGAGGTACATGCCATTATGCCTTCACTAATATTATCACTTCACCTAACAAGATTAAAGGTAGCATTGATATACCAATGAGTGATGTAATTACATCTGTGTTCACCTGTACCGGCACAGCCAGGCAGGGAGAGTCAGCACGTATAAAACAAATCCAGGTCTATTCATTGAACAAATATTCTTTAGCAACAATGGAGGAGATTTACTCAGTTTTCAAATCACCCATAAAAAACAGTGTCGCCGCCCCACAGCCCTTACCAGGTAGTGCCTGGCACTCCTGCTGCCGCTGGTCCCACTGGCAGTTCAGGTGCAGCGAGCAGCTTTTGCAGCTCGTCAGTTTATTGCAGATCTGTTCATTCCTCACATGACATTTGGTGTAGTTTTTAACCGACTGTAAAAATAAAACAGATAAAACAGCATCTCAAACATACGTCCAACCATCAACAAACAAGGAGTCAAAACCAAAATATGGGGCAGGTGGATCCCTCCCAGAAACTCAGACACCAGAAAGCTAGGTTGAATTTAAACTCTTTGTCTAAGATTCCCTTATCAGTCGCGCAGAGTACAAAATGCATCTGTAGAGCATAAATCACCCCACCTGTCCTACACAACTGAGTCAAACAGTACTTTGAAGACGTCCCTTCCCTGTACGCAGCCCAGGAAGAGCTTAAATAACTAAACTAAGTCTCTGTTTCTTAGATAGTTAAGGGATATGCTCTCACTAAATTGTTTTATCCTATGCAGCTTAAAGCAAGCAAAATAATCAAACAGAATATAAAAAAGATGGCACAAGACACAGGTGTAAAATAATTACATATCATTGACTGGAGGTGCAAGAATATGTTCTACTTTGTTTTATCCGGATTAAATGAAACAAAAATAGAAGCTATTTACCAGGAGTCAAAAAAACACAAGAAGGATTTGTCAAAAATTTCAATCATGCTTTATTACAGATTTAACTGCAAAGCTGTATGTGACATAGCTAGTATAAAATTTACAGAATCTACAGGAAAACATTTTGTCAAACAGTGACATAAAACCAGGAATAACATTATTCCTTTGGCACCTTAGTATGCAAGAAAAGGAGAAAATACTGAAAGAATTTTTAATTCGTTTTTTTGTTGGTTTTGGTGTGGTGTTTTGGGTTTTTTTTCCCCAGAAAATAGAAGTCTTCCTTTCCAAGTTAGGCATTTTGACTACAAATCTTTCTTGTCTCTGCACAGTACTTTTAATTAAGACATAATATCGATGTCTTATTTAATAAACAGCTCCAAATCCTCAGCCAATTGATCTGCTTATCCATAAGGCTGTCTCTACCAACCTAATTTCAAGGTAAGAATTAAAAATAAGTCCCAATACAGGACTCTCAGAACCACAGAACGGGCGTGTCCCAGTTTGAGGTAGAACAGGACCAATTTTGTTCAGTAACTTTAGTTCTTAACTCGGCCTCTTCTAACTACTGGAATTAACAGCATATTGTGCAGAAACTGTTTGCTTTCAGAGTGATCAGACCTATGTTTGTAGCTGATGCCAAGGGATGGTATGCAGAGATGCTCTTGCTTATACTTCTTGCTATAACAGCCAAGGCCAACCAATTTTGTTATCTGCCCCGTTGGAGGGTCGGAAGCAGAAAAACATAGAGGGGTCCCACCTGCGGGAAGGAGTGGACAGGACAAGTGACCCGAAACTGACCATCAGTGCGTTCCATCCCTTCTGCCTCATGCTCAGTATAAAAGCTGAGGGATCAAAGGGTCAGCCCTCTTTCTTCAATGGCTGGCCTCCAAGGAGGACTCTCTTCATCTGCCTTTGATACCAATCCCCATCCTGAATCCAGATCCCAAATCCAGTTCCCGTCTATCACCGAGTCCAGTCTGGGACCTAGTGCCAGCAAGTGACGTGACTGTCACCCTGGGAGCTTGATATGGTTTTGTATATATTTCATTATTTTATTTTTATTATTAATATTTCATTAAATTACTTTACTTTCTTCTAAACTCTCTCTCTCCAGGAGTACAATAAAGCACATCTAAAGGAGACTATAAGTTACACAGTTGTTGGTACTGGAATGACGACAATGATAGGGCATCAACCTACTGCAGTCAGGAGGGAAGACAACCAGCATCCTTTTATTATTAGTTTGTTTTAAATCCTGAAATAATGCAACTGTTAAAGTGAGTTTTCAATCTCACACAGGACCAGCTTCATTCCTGCTTTTTGAGAACACTGCTGTTTAGGGATTTGTTTGTTGCCTTTATTGGATCAGATGCCCATCAGTGAGCTTATTATAAAAGGTACTCGCTATTTTTCTGTCTATAAGAAAGGCTACCATGAAGCAAAAAACTAAAGAAACAGTTCTAGAAGGCAGCATCTACACCACGGTATGATTCAGAAACAAAGGCAACGCCATAAAGTCACAGAATGTCTATCTAGGCCAAAAAATGCATACAAACAGTAAAGCACAAAAAACCTTTGGTACAAACCCACATTTAGTTTCACTCAATCTTGAAGCATATTCACAAAACTGCCCGAGAGATGCTTTAAAGTGAATTTTAGAGCACAAGTAACCATCATCTGCTCGTTTGCAACACCTCAACTAATATTCGCTTTTAACACTTCGTGACGACATACTCAAAATCCTTTAGCATTCAGATTGGTTTTGAAAAATATATAGACTTTAGCGATATTACATACAAATTACAATTTTCCAACTAAACCAAGATATTTGTTCTATTACTTTCAAATCATGGAGCTTGTTGTATGCTGGTTATTTAATGTTTAAAATAAAATTCAAAGTACTAGTGACTATTCTATAATAATGTTCTCTGTTGTATTCCCTTATTCCCAGCACTTATTTCCCTTAAATCCAATTTAAACATTGCTTGCGTGAAAATCTCATTAGTTCAATGTAGATGTGAATCCAATAGGTAATTCATATTAACACAATATTAAGGTTATAACTTAAGCTACCAAACCCAATGAAATTCAGAAATATGACAGCCCATCTGTTACTGAAGGTCTATATTGCTGTAGGATATTTATGTTTACACACCAAAGTATGCGTAAATCATGTTATGTATAAAGCTTCCCACTTACGTCTGATTTACTTAGATTTTTTTCAGTACTGATCTTGATATGGTGGTAGACAGACTTATGAACTGCAGTGCTTTTCTGAATATCCACTGCAGAATGAAAATGTTATGGTAGTTTATCTTAGAATTTTGGAAATTGCTATTAAATAATGTACCTCTCTCCTCCTCCTGGATTTTTCAGGTTAAGAGTATAATCTTGTCTAGTTTGCCTAGTCTAACTGTAAATTATTAATCTAATAGATTTGCCACTATTTCTCTAAAGCTTAGCTCTGAAGCCAAGTCTTAAATTTTCTTTTTTTCCTCCAAGACAAATCTGATTCCATTCATAATTCCTTCTACTACTTTACACATTTCCCTTGGAATATTCTTTGAATTCCTCAAATGCAGGCAGATTGCTATGATCATCATTATTATTATGATCAGTATTAGTGCAGCATCCAAGGACTCCCGTCATGAAAGAGGCTGTTAACCTTCTGGAAGCGGTGCAAGCTTTGAAAAGAGACAATGATTCTTGTCTTTGAGGCACTGCATAAAAATGTTTAACAATGTAGGACTATAGTTCTCTTTGAAGCGTCCTCTAACATCCTATACCCTTCAGCAAGATGCTCTTTATCACACCTTTCATGGGTGTGGGTTCTACAACTTTTAGTTTATGCTGCCACACTCGGATATAAAATACTTTTGAATCGCATACCTATTTGGGCTGTATTTAAGTTACTTACATCAACTGGGACTTTATTGTATTGCATGTGTGGAGACTGACACACAAGAAATTCAGAGACTGCTACTGGAGGTGGGAGTGGTCACAGTTCCAGAAGGAGCACATCCCCCTTGTAGGAACGTGTCCCCCTTGCAGTTTTTGAAAGCAATGAGGCTTCAAAAATGCAATACTGACTGGATGCAGGAATACTTCAGCTGTGCCTCTTCCCATCGTAGTTCTCCCAACAAGAAAAATCACATGCACTGCACTTGAAAAGACACATCAGAGACCACACTCTGACCAAAAAAGTATTACATTCATGAGCTACTGCCTGGGGTTCTTGATCCTAACTGATTAAGTGTTCCCAATTTATTCTGCCCTCCCATTTGTCTGCTGTTTGTTTCAGTAAAAGAGTAGTTATTTTAACAAGCTTAATGTGAAGATCCAGCATAAGAGCTGAAATTTTATAAAAGTGGTTTTTTTCATTTTTTTTCCAAGCACTTGTATAGTTTTGAAAAGAAAGCATTTTCTCTCAATCAACATTTTGCAAGTAAAGTTTAATATTATATTACTGCTGCATTTCAAGCTTTCAAAATATTTTCCTTAAGTAACCTGGGAATAAGTAACTTTATTTGCAGACTTTTAGTGTGGGCAGTTAACATTTCTATAAACTGAAGGATTATATGCCAACATTGTAGACAACCAGCGGAGCATATTGTTACAACCACCTTATCTGCAGTGATTACTTCAATCTGTACTGTAGAGGAGTAAGACGATGGACGGGGAGAAGGAAGCCATTTCTTGTTAATTCCCAAAGCTTGCCTTTCATGGGTGCTGGTTGGATCCCAAGTGGAGTTTGGTGTGGAGCCAGGAAATGGGAAGAGTTATTTTGAGGATATAAAGAATCAAACCCAATTTGTTTTGATACCTAGTGCAAGCATTTCCCATTGTTTCCCGAAGAACAGGGTGAGGGAGAAGACAAAGAAGGGGGGGGGGGGCAGTAAAAAAAAGCCAGAGAAGGGAAAACCTTCAAAATTCTTTCACATTATAAATATCAAAAAGAAGCCAACACATCGTCCAGCAACAACCTACATGTGCACTTAAATATTTTTACATTTTTCAGCCTGTAACTCTATCAGCACTTGAGGCAATCCCAAATATAAGTGGCACGGTACATGTCCAAAGCCAGCTTATCCTCCTCTTTCTCCAGCACATTGCTTAAAGAAGCCTGGTAAGCAGGAGGCATTCCAGTACTTCCAGGGCTTCAATGCAATCACACTTTTTGAATGCGCCTACCTGTCCCTGCAAAAACAAAACAGCTTTTGGGCATAATATGGACTTTATATATTGCTGTCCTTAAAAATTATTAGTCTCTCTTTCTGAAGAGCAAAAAAACAATTGGTAAATTTTTTTAGTCTAAAATTCAGGCTCTCTCTGGTCTTCCTCATAAAAGAAACTTTGTTTTTTGTTGCAACTGGTCAGCCCTCCTGAGTCCTCTACCATTTTATTTGTCACAAGGTACAAAAAGATTTTGCTCTCATGGGATGGCTCCTCCCTGAGGAGCAGACCAATTCTTTGCTTACTCTTCCATGCTACTACCTCCAGAAAAATGGAACAATTTGAAACTAAATTCATCTCTCCCCAAAGCCTTTTTTTTTTTTTTTTTACAGTTTCATAATGATATTAAGCAGATCCAGACCTGGTGGTTCTCCTCTATCAAGAAATAGGCAAAGTGCATCGGAATCAGTAAGGACCAGGAAGACGATTAGGATATTATAGAGTACAAGTGAAAGCGTCAAAGTGCAAGATCAATGCAATAGACTTAAGGGCAGTGAACTGCTAGTAAAAGTCAATACGATCTACTCCACAAAAATGATGAATATACCACAAGCAGGACACAGAACATTTTTTTGAAAAAGCAAAAGGAAGGAAGATGTGAGACAGAAAAGCTAAGGAAAAAAGGCAGATATGAGCAAGACAGAAAGTTGTTTCTTCCAATTTTAAAAGAGTGATGTGTATTGCTTAGAGGGACACATATGCAACACTACTAGATTTTACAAATAAATCAAAATACTGCTGTTTAAGTTTCCATCTTTGATGCAGACATTTAATGAATAGGAGAAAAACAGTAGGTACATCAACGATGTCATTTCCTTTTTTGTGACAAGGTCTTCTACAATATTCTATGTTTCCAAGCTGAGAACAGCCTTGGACTAGGTGCAAGAGGCTCCATGAAAGAACTTGAAAGAGCAAGTTATACAAACATTAGTATGTCATATTTCATGAAGTCTGTACTTGGCATAACACAGTATTAATGACAGTATTATAGTTGCTTTTGCCCCTATGGCAAACCAGTATCTATATCTGCACATCTTTGAAAAAAGGTAGAGTAGGTGATCTCACCATTTTTAGCATCCAAAGATAACCATTAAGTAACTTTTTTATTTTATTTTACATATAAGCACTACATTTTATTATGGAGTAACTTCAGTGTATTATGTAAAGCCACTGTAAGCAGTTTGGGGAATTTCAATGGTGTAATTGCTCAAGGCAACCTTCAAAATCCTTATTATAACAGACAAAATTTCTAATTGGTATATTTAATGGTAGAAAACACACACCAAGGCTACTGCTAGCATGCTGTTCAATCTACTTAACTAGCCAAACTTCAGTACCATCTTGAACCACACCACATGTTTTAAGTAAACTGTTTCCCTGCTGGGCAAGATGGGATAAGCATTCACCCCTCAACATTTGCATCAGATATGATGGGGTCAACTAAAACTATAGTACGCAGAAGTATCCCACTTACATGAGGTTTTTATAGGAGAAAAACAAACCAGCCTGCTCATGCTGAAATGAGCCAGACCTTCAGACCGACCTGGCATTGGAAGCCTCTGCTTGCAACTACATCAGATATGAGTACAATACATACCTTGATGATCCATGAATCTCCACAGTAGTGGCATACAGTGTCCTGTTAATGTGCTGACACACATCAGATGGTGAGCATAGGCAGGTACATGTGTATCATGAATGCATTAGTACTACTTATGAAGTCCATCTGTCCAAACAGACTTATTTCAGGGAAATTTCCATATTTTACAGCCCTTCCAATCAGCAGAACAGTCCCTGCTTTGCAAATATCCATGACCATGAGGCAAATGCCAAACTGATTGCCAACATAACTTCAGTATGCTGGCCAGTTTCCATGAAGCAAAAGCAACAGATTCTAAAACATTGTTGTCTGTCTCATCTGGATGTTCTATGATCTAAGTAATAAATCAAGATCTTTGTACAGCTGCAAAAATGGGGCTTACTCCTTGTGATGTTTCGAGTCTACAGCTTGTTATCCTATTTTACCATCACAGTACTGTCACAGCATTTTCATTTTGTGGGCCTAGTCCAGAAGAAGCAGTCTATGAAAACGGATAATCAGCCTGATCCATTCCACTTCTCCACATGGTGCCGTCCTGTTAATGCTGTTTTGGTGGGTTTATGTCGATAGCTGCAAAATTCTGCCTCCATCGTCTCCCAGCCAATATACTAATTGTGCAATAGCCACCTTCAACTTATGATAGTAACTCTCTTCAGAAACCATTTCAATGAATGTTCACTATCCCATTCTTTAGTAATTCCACTAACAGCCTTTGCTATCCACTTCAAACCTTGAATAAAAGACAGGAAATGACAGAGAAGACCGGTGCATCAGTTGATAATTAAGCTGGCAATCTTGATTATGAAAGGTTGTCAAAGAAGGATACCGAACTGAGAAGCTTGTGCTAAAATACCCAGTACTCCACCTTTATTAGGGATGAAGACGATCTGCTCCTTAGCAACTGTTCCTTCCTTAAGAGTTACAAACCATGGTTAGAAAATTGGCACCTAATGTAGTATAATGTGTTAGAAAAGGAAGAGCCCTTGAAGATCACAAAGGAAACTAACCATTAGTGCCTGGAACGTGAAGTCCCTCTGACAGACTTATAACATGGCTGCTGATGAATTTGTGTCTGCATTGCTTTTATTAGTAGTGACTAGCTACAAATGCCAGTGATTAGAGCTGGCTGTGCTCGCTCTGAATGGGCAAGATTTGAGTCAGAGTCAATCCAACTCACACCTTAATTTATCTGTCCAGAGAATAAGATCGATTTGCATCAGGTTCAAACCAGAGAGCAAGCTACTTTTACTAATGGAAGTGCGTAAAGAAAGGATTTTGAACTCAAGTACAGCCAGGTGTCTGGAGCTAGCTGAAAAATATAAAAAGGCAAAATTTTTAAAGCTAAAAGACTATTATAAGCTTGTCAAAAAATCAAATGAACAAGCAAGCTAGTGGACAACAAAGTATAAAACATGGCACTAAGCAATGTTAAAAATAGAAAAATACAAACTTGTATGAATCTATATGTTCTTATGGCTTTCATTTAGAAAGATCAGAACAATCTTACCAAATCATCACAAGCCCGTTAATCTCATGGTGACAGAGGCTTATATTCTTTCAATAAGATGACAAGTAGCTCCATAACTTAAAGAAAAACATTTCTATGGAGATCAGTTATCAGAATACCAAGACTAACGATACTGACACGGTCCTGTTTGAACAGTGGAATAAAAAAAAAAAAAAAAAACCAAAAAAAACCACCAAACAGCCATCCTGGTATTCCATGGTTTCTGCCTCTTTACTGTATGCCACGTATGCACACAATCCAAGTTGATAACTACTTCAAGATATTCCAAATGTCACTAATTAGGAGATAACAGTATTTCTCCTGAGAGATATACAGTGGTTTAACACAATCCTAAAGAATACATTAACTTTTTCCCTGGAACAGATATCTTTGCTGCAGTCCAACTCTGCCCTCCGCAACATTTTTAATGCAAAAGCCAGACAAACGTGTTTATGTTTGTGTTCAAAACAAGCTACTATTAGTCTACTATACCCCTTTCACTTGCTGCAACTTGATTCTGGTTTAGCTAGAAAAGAAACAGTATTAATAACACGATCATAGATTGCAAAGACTCACCATGCTACAGTTACTATTTGCCGAAATGCATTTCTTGTCATCACACCACTGGCACCCGTTGGTATTGGCAGTACAGCTCACACAGTCTGCGTATCGGTAACATCTGTCATCTGCAGCAGCTGTAATACAAACAAAAGTCAAAAAGAAACATTGCACAGGAGAATACCACATTTTAAACACTTTAAGAGTATTTTCTGTTACATCCTTTATTTGAACTCTAGCTATACATAAAGGTTTAAGTTACTGCAGGAAATTAATTCTCTTCAGTTAACAAGATTTACTCCTTTAAAAATTCCTTCAGTAACAACTATATTTGAAGGATCATAAGTCTCATATCAACTAAAGGAATATTCACTGATCTGGAGCATACAAACTCTCTTAGCACAAAGTATCAGAAAGTTTCTTAAACTATTCATTCTTCACTCCTTTAACACAGAAGAAAAATTTTCTTCAGATGTAGGTTTCTGATAAAAATATTAGATTGCTATGCAAGAAGGCAATGGTAAAAGTAGTAAAAAAAAAAATCTAAGACAGATATTAGCAACACAGACATTTTAAGTCTTTATAAATTAATTTATAAACCTAATAATGATTGGTAACATAGTTCTGCTGTTTCTCTACAAAAAATATTTGAGGAAGAGTTCATGCTAAATTTATGTTATTTAAAACAGTTTGGGACACAAATGATTACTTCTGTTTAAAGGATTCAAAAATTTGAAAAAATCACCATGACTCTAAATAGGAGAATTCTTACCATCTCCTACACCGATTACCATGTTTAACTCCCTCACAGTTTGGCTTCTTTAGTCTTGGGATCATGCAAATTTAAGAGATTCTCTTGCCAGGGAAGCCTTGCTACCCAAGAATTGATCTTATGAAAACTCACTAAAATTTCTGCTTATCCTTTAATATTGACTATCAGCAGTTTCTCAGATTATACTCTCAACCAGATAACAATTGAGCCAAGTGGTGTAAAATACCATATGAAAAATTGGCTTTTGGCAGAATATTACTGCCTGAAACTGGAAGGATTTGACAGCAGTGAAGTTGTGCTGTGTCCACACAGCTGCTTCAGAACTGGAATTCTACACACCTCATGTCTTGCAAGTTTAGTTGGAGTTTCTTCCCACTGCAGTAGCTGTACTTTAGAAACTGCTCTAACTTTTTTTTTTTCCTTCAACCTGTCTGTGCTTTGGTTTTGGTTTTTTTTCTTAAACACCTGTTGATACGATCAGCTTTTTATAACATCCACTTTCATCTGTGTTACTTGTGAATTTAGTGTCTCAAGATTTTTCTTTTTATAAAGAGGTGAAACGTGCTATACTCTAGATCTCTAAGTGTTATGAAACTGTACAAAAGTAGTTCTTCAGAAAGCTTTACCTGGATAACCTTTCTCTTATATAATGCACCTTTTTTCCAAGTTTGCAACTTGATATCCCGTTCAGAAACAAATAACAGCTAACAGAAAAATAAACTCTCTTAAAGCATTGATTAATGGCAGAGCTAATAGTTTTTTAACAAGCATTAAAAAAGTAGACTGGCATTTTAATTGTATGGTAACTTGCAAATGCAGCACACAGCCAAAGTTTGGTTAGCAATTTTATACTGTGCTGAAAGGAAAGATGCACAGAAAAAACAGCAGATGTATGTAGCAGGGATGAGTACTCTGTTCATGTGAAGTATAAGAACAACACTTTCACAAGCAATTTATTTGTGACAAGCCAAAATACTTAGGAATAGGGTGCAACAATTATTCGTAACGCTAAATTGCTGTTTCAAACAATATAGCTATCACAATGCCACACAAATGCACGCAATAAACTGGAACCCATTTTGACATAGTGCAGCAAAGGGCTTGCTTGCCTCAAGTTTGTTTCCAGCTGTGACTGTCCTCTATTCTTCTATAGAAATGCTCCTGTTTTATAGGTAATCTACCTGAAGCAGCGATGCTTTCCCTTGCTCTTACTGGTACATAGACATGAGAGTGCCATGTACCTCTAATGCCAGATGTCACTTGCAGCGCCCATCTGTGCTCTAACTGCTGTTCTGCTTTCTTGGAATCAAAAAAAATATGAAGGCTTTTATATATATGTGTGTGTGTGTGTGTATACATGCACACACACACACATATATATTCCGAAAGAGGAGAAGGTGGAGAAAGAGGAAAATTCATTCACTTACAATATTTCAAAGCTCACCCTTTTATAAACGCTTCAAACACACTGAGACAAATCCGATCTAAAGTCATTTTATGCTGTAGCTCCCCAATGAAATAAATTCCCCTGTTTGAACCCTCTTATATTTTGTATCCCTTATGTATTGTTGTGCTCTTTTGCACCTACTTCACTCTATTTGAAATACAAAAAAAAAAATCCAGAATGGAATTATTTTAAAAATTAGTCCATAAATCTCTTGCATTGTATACTCTTAGAGAGGAATAGTCTTCGCAGTCCAATCATTAGTTCCACTTGGTTGCTTTTTGGCAGCCGTTTGAGGTTTTCTTCCCCGCCCCCATCTCCTACATCAATATTGTAAATCTGACACCATAAGACTAGAATTCACTTACCTGTTCTCTTAGGACATTTTGCTCTAAGGATGTTATTAGCATGTCCAGATTCCCAGGATTCACAATGTTTCTTGTTCCACAGACACCTTATCCCTGGACGAGCATTTTTACACAGCTCTTCATCTCTGAACGCTTCGCAGTTTGGAGGCTTGTACACAAGGATGTCATTCAAAAGAACACTTGAAAAACCCCCAAATATATACATGGACCTATCAGGAAAAAGCAAGTAAATATAATTGTAATTGCAGCTATAGATACATTTTATTGATTGCTTATCTGTCTTGATACACAATTAAAAAACCAACACAGAATATTATAAGAAACGTTCATCCTCTCTCTCTAATAAAGACTCCGTCAGTGGTTCCATTATTGATTAGTTTTTCAATGTATTTCTCCATGGAAGTTTAGGCTGACAAAAACATTGCTCAAAGTGCACTGTACTATATGTATTAGTGAGTGACATATAGCAAATGTCTAGAAAGAGCAGCTATGGAAGAAACTACTCATTTTTGGAGTTAGAGAGTGAAAACAGTGAAATAATGGGCTGTGCGAAATGAGGATATCTTTCTTCAAGAAGATTTCAAAGACAGCAGCAATAATTGGCAGATAAGTATTCCTTTTTGGTAATATTTCTGGTATAGCTGCTGATATCAGAACCAGAAGACTAGACTTGAGATCTTACCCTTCTCATTTAAAATTAAGAACAGGCTCAGGTAAAAGGTAGTAATAACCTGTATATCTGTTGCATTGTATACTTTTAAAACAGAATGAATCATACAGGTACTAACAGCAGAAATCTTTGTAGAGTATCTCATACTACACTATTTTGTACATAAAACCCTACTACAGATACTACTAAATTCAGGAAAAAAAAAAATAGGCATTTTCACCTTGAATCTAATTCATTGAAAGTGACGGTTCTCGAAGTATCAGACATAGCTTACCTGACTTACACACCAACCAAAATGAAAAACTACCAGCTGCTGAATTCATTAATTCCAAGCAATTTTCCTCTTAATGAAGTAATCTGGTCATTGATTAATTTCAAGTGCTCTGTGTACAGAATTACAACTTTCTGCTATTTTTGTTAAAGTCTGGTAAACTCTTATTTGTAGTATTACTTAACACTTCCATTATTTCTGACCTTATAACATCCACGTGTAGGATCTGTAAGTTGCCCACATATATTTAAATACCAAGTTTATTAGGGTGATGAAAAATGTAGAAGGGGGATGATCAGTAGTACACATCATGGCACAGTCAGCTGTAGCACTGCAGCTGTCAGATACAGGCTATTTGGTAACCAGCGGTAGTAAAAATCACACAACCAGACAGCCAGAAATTTCTTTAAACCTGACTACAGTTTTCTACAACTTTCCCACCAAAAAGGAGACATTTGTCCTACACTTTTATCTTTGGGTTTGGAGTGGGGGAAGCAGAGTTCAGTCACCAAATCCAGCAAACTCCAAATCCACTCCACCTCCTATTTCTAGATGAAGCTTTACTGAGCTCCTCTTCTCAGCAAATGACGTGAAAGCATTCTGTTTTCTAGAGGACAAGCAATACACTTAATATCCCCTAGATGCTGGCAGGCTTTTTTTTCCCCTGCAAGTGGTTAATAATGATCACTGTACCAGTGTGCTTGGAGAAAGCAAGATTTTTAACAAATTTTAGTAACATGTTTTTTTATTTTATGATCGTAGAAGAACAAGGAATTATAGCACGGTGCAAAGAGAAAAATATTTCTCCCATTACATGTAAGCGAGGATTATAGTTGGTACTGAATTTCAAATTCAGTGTAACTCACAATACTGAGGAAACACCTCAGTACACTACAAGGTTCATATAAAATGCCACTGGACAGATTCCACAGCATGTCAAATTGACGATTAGCTGTACTAATTACCTAAGACAAGTAAAGTCCCTGATGAGCACTACTTCTCATGTTAATAAATTACACCAGTTGTATGTCATTGAACTATACTTCACATAGGTATTATTTCTGCCACAGTTTTTTCATTCAGAAAACTGTCAGGAAAATTTAAAATGCACTTCATTTACCCATTACTAACAACAGCAGTGTGACCAAATCTGTTGACATCTCGATGCAGATTAGGTTTTGGCAAAATCTTCCATTCATCACAAGCTAAAAGACAGAACAAAAGCATATGAAAACATACATGAAATAATTCCAAAAGTTTTCAGCAAAATATATGCAAAATGGATTTTATCAGACACACTTTTGTATTTTAAAGTATCAACTAATTTTATTGCCTATTTACCCTCACTATTTCTAATAGTCACTAATTCTGAGAAGCTATATTTGCATCGCTCAAAAATAAATCAACAGGTACTCCTTTTAGATGCATTTGTTGAGTAGGTGCTCCAAGAACCTGTCAGCAACACTTACCTACCACGGCATGTATCAAGGCCAGAGGACACTCACAGAAGTGTCCCTTTATCATACAGTTCTCTGCCTTCACAGCCCATTTCAACAATCATGATGACAACCACTGCCATCATTGTCATTAAGTGATCAGTAATATTGCCCTAACATTACACACCCTCAAATTAGCCAAAGGATTTCAATTCATGCATATTTCACTGAACATCTGCAACAGTAAACTTTTTTCATAAGTCCTTTAAGATAAACTACCATTCCTCCAGATGTGCACCCCATCTCACTGTCATCTTACTTTTGGTATCTTGACCTAAATGTGATACTAAGTACTTTCCTTTCACCAAATATTTGAGACCACTGTTGTTTCAGTATCTTCAGTTCAAGTTAACTGTTCAAGCACATTTCTGTTAGCACTACTGTAGGAGCATTTACAAATGTGGTTTTGGTGTGGTTTCATTCTAGTTCTTTGGAACAATTAGTCCTTTCTTCGTTATTTCCTACTTGAAATTTACTGACTTCAAATATTCATATCCCAAAGTAGTAGAAATGGGCAGCACCTAGAGATTGAAGCTTCTAGAAAATCCCTTTAAAATAGAGAAAAAGTATTTTTTTTACAGAGGAGGCAAAGCATTTCTGGAATTTGTCATCATAAATGGTTTTGGAGATAGGTGGGGTAAACTTGCAGGAAAATTTTTGTATCAGACAGAGGGTTACAGTTTTGTCATTTTAATAAAAAAATAAAAATCTGCTATATACTAAGATACGAATTCAATCCAAAGTTGAAAAGGACTTAAAAGGAGAGAGACCTCTCCAATGTAACCCAAATAAAAGCGTAGCTTTATTTATTTATTTTTATATAAATATATAAAAAGGTATACACACACATATATATATTTAGGTCTTTGATAATTATATTGTTCTTTCAGCTATTCTCAATGAAAACTTATTTGCATTTTGCCTTAACATGGTTTGAAGCCAGAATAACAAGATGACACAAAGCTATCAATGTGGATGCTAAGACACAAAAAAACTGACCTATTTGCTCAATATATTCTCCATAATATACAGAAGTAAAGAGAACACATGCCTGTAGAAGCTGCAGTTAGAGTTAGTACCACAAAAAAGCAGAAGTATCCTATAGGGACCAACAGTCAGAAAAGGTCGCTGCCATACAGCAAGACTGCGAGGAACACATCTGAAGCCTAACCATTTCCAGGGTCGTAATGCAATTATCACACAGGTTGACTTTTACCTAATATTGTTGAATTCATATACCTGTAAGATTCCAATGACAGCCACATCCAAATAAGGAATACTTACTTAATTTTAAAATTTGGAATAATTCATGCAAGTTATAGTTATGATTAAAAAATAAAGGGCTATCACCATCAGACCACATATTTCAAGGAAGTCAATGTTTAAGGTAAAAAAAAAAAAAAAAACCACGCAGAAACCCAAACACCCCTCCTCCCTCCCCAGATTAAAACAATAAAAATTGATATTAGGAAATCCAAGAGGATTGTCCTCCAGGCTGGTGTCACACAGAGCCTAAGTCACTCTAACTTCTGGCTACACTGGTCCTGCTCTCCTTCCCACTGTCAGAACAGTTCATCTCTGCTAGTGCTGCTGCGCTGGCATCTCTAATGCAGAAAACTATTCACAGCAGCACTTTGTCCTGTTAGCGTCCTGTCAAGCATACCGTGCTGAAACAGCTCGGTGCAAGGTCACACAAGGGTGGACTCGGCACATGAGAGGAGGCAGGACAGCGTGGCTACGGGCAAAACTACAGGAATACGCCGTTAGATTGACTTAGGCTTCCGCAGCATCACAGCCCGAGCCCATAGAGTCAGAGTGAGACTGTGGCTGTGAGAGATAAATCAATTACATCTTTTTATAAATTGGAAACAGGAACTAAAAGCACATTATTACCAGAGTAACACAGATGGTCCAAACAGCAATAATTTCAATATCAGATGGTCGACCTGGAATTAATTTAGTAGTTTGAAGAAAAATAAAGGATAGTAAGTTTAATGCGCTGTCTTATAGGATCAAAAAAAATGAATCCCCAAAATCTTGCCTCTTTCAACTTCTACCTTCTGTCACTATCACTGTTAACATTATATTATCATAAAATTATGGTATTATTAGTACACTTCATCTTCCACAATGGTTCTTTTTTTATTTCCTCTACTTAAATAGAATGGTGAAAGTACATACATATCAGAGATGCTGTTTCTGCAACAGCTTCAACAGAAGAGATCACAGTACTAGGGCATGAATTACTTACGATCACAAGTTTCAGATGAAGGCAGGAGATACGTTAAATATAAAAGTTGCGGCATCCCCATATCCCAGCATAACACTGGCATTCAATGCCTTCACAGTGTTCGAATTATGTAAGAAATTCGGACTAAGAGCAATATTATTTACTGGAAATGTCATCAACAATCACGAATTCAATTTCTATTTCAAGAAAATATTTCCATATTAAAAGCTATAAAAAGCAAAGGTTTTAAGACTAGAATCAACCAGCAAAATCTTGCTGTTATACTTTAAAACCAAGTTCTTGCTGTTGTAAGTCATCGCACATTAACAGAAACAGCATGTTTGAGCTCACGTGCCTTTGATGGTAAAGGAAACAATTTAAAAAAACACAGTAAATTTTCATCTCATCTTGGAAACCATTGCACATTATCTTTTGTATTTTTACAAGCATATATACAAATATATAGTGTTTCTTGTACTTAGAAATTTATTTAAGAAAAAATGGGATTTAATGCTGAAGGAAAACCATAAAACCATAATAAAGGCTGCATTTGAGATAAGAAACCCTTGAGGGCTGGAGATATAATTCCTTTCATGCTGATGGTATTTGTCAAACTGGCAGGTCTTTTCAATAGAGAAGGAGGAAAAAAAAAAGGAGGGGAAGCACATTACAAATAGCCTTCCCTCTTATCTCCTCCTAGCCTTCTCAACGACTACTGAACACTGAACGGAATTTTGCTCAGCTTCGAATCTCTGATTTGAATTTCTCTGTACAGATTGGATAAAACAAAATACAGACAGTTAACCAACCAATTTTTGGTGTTTTAGGTAAAAAGTCAAAGAGAATTTGTCATCTTCAAACCTCTTTTGACGATTTCCAAGTACTCAAATTTCCAGACTTACTGTACATTTCCAAGAAGAAAGTGACAAACAGCAAATGCAGTCTGATTTTCAACATTGTTTATCGATACTGCATCCTTTTGTGCATTTTATTTGCTGTATCAAGTCTAATAAGGATGGTAAACTTTATGGAGTAAAAACTAAAAATATTTTCCTCTGTAAAATGTCATGTACTCTTAAGGTATTATACAGATAGTAAGTGGAAGATATGGTATTGGTTGTATTTACCACTGTCTGTATGTATCAGTGTATAACATATAGCGCAAGGAAGCGTGTACTGCTTTTAATAGAAAGTTACTAAGCAGATGGAGTGATATTATTCATCCAAAACTGACTAGCAGAATTTTTAGTCACTGAAAAGTACAAGGAATCCAGGGGCTTTTCTTCCTATTAAAAAGGCTTCTACTTCAAGAAGAAGTTGTACCACATTATTTCATTATAAGAAAGAGATTCATACTCTTCCCTAGCGTAGATTAAATGGTTACCAAATGATATAGAGGTGGCTCTGAGAGTGAATTTGCCAGCCACACAAATTACTTACATGATGAAACATGCCTCAGAAATGCACCAGATTTGAGGTGATCCAGCTGGCGCTGGCAGAGAAAAACCAATGAGACTGACCCTGAAAGTCTTGACAACTCACTCCCTACAAAATTTTGTAAATAATATATGGAAACATGAAGGAACTGAAATATTCCCTTTGTAGAAAACACTATGGAAACTCAGATGAAAAACTGTAAGCATTGAACAGAAGAGCAGCTTATTTACACCTCATCATTTTCTTCCCCTACTCTGCAATGCCCAAGACTGCATTTCATGTTTCAAGATTGAAACGAAGACTTAACATCACGACCGCTAAGAACTTGCAGGTGGAACTGTCTCGAAGTGACACTCTCACTGTTCCCTTTAAAGAATGGAAAGGGTTCACGCTTCCAAAATATGATAAAAGGAAAAAGACTTACTTTATATAGTTTAATAGTAATTAGAGTAATGATCCAAGGTATAGCAGAAACAGGTTCATTTCCTACCAAATGGGATTTAAACCTACAGCTTTCATCTCCGAGGAAAATGCCCTAACCGTTCAAGCTAGGTAACTCTTCACTACTACAAGTTAATGCTGTTCCACTGAACAGCATAAAAAAAAAGTTAGAAATAGGGAGCAAAAGTTGTTAGGACAGTCTCTAAAAAAAAGGGGCGACCAGTGTTCCATACTTTACTTCCAGGATCACATTTGCATTCTGCACTAGCAGGTCAGTTTAGTGACAACCTCTTAATACACTTGGAGCTATGCTTTAAGAAAAGGTATACAAAACTACCTACTTTATGTTTACATTATAAAAACATTTCTCAATTTTAAAGTATTTAAATAGATGTGAAATGCCAATCCATTGATTCCACTCAATCATGCTCTCTAAGCCCCGCAGTGCAGCCTTACGTACTACATAGAATCCAATGTCAGATTTCACTCGTATGTTCTCTTTACATATTTCCAATAACTACTCTGTCAGTTTTACTCTGGGAAAAGAAGAAACATCTGTTCACAAGATATGGACACACATCATATTTTTGTCTGGTTCTCT